CCTCCTGTCGGCCCCCAGGTCTGTGCAAGGGGCACAGAGCCCGGAAGAGTCAGGAGTCCAAAACCGCCGGCTGCTGCCCGACGCCCCCAACGCCCTACACATCCTGGACGGACCCGAGCAGCGCTATTTCCTGGGCGTCGTGGATCTCGCCACGGTCTATGGGCTCCGCAAGCGGCTGGAGCACCTGTGGAAGACACTGCGCTACCCGGGCCGGACCTTCTCCACTGTCAGCCCGGCTCGCTACGCCCGTCGCCTCTGCCAGTGGGTGGAGGAGCACACAGAGTGACGGGCGCCCGGCCCCACTTTCCGGATCTAGATGATGGGCTCACGCCAGGAACACCGGTTCCCTTGGGCCCGAGCATCTCGCCTGCGCTTCCTCCTGATGGTCGCCAGAGGGCAGCATCCCCTAACTAATACCGTAACCGCGCAGCCCGGTTTGACGGTGGTGCCGTGCCCAGCATCATGCCAAGGATTCCCCTACTTTAGCTCATTTAGTCCTTAAAAAAAAATGCTATTATTCTCTTTTTACAGACCATGAAATGGAGGCTCAGGGGGTGAAGGGACTGATCAAGATCATTCAGCAATAAATGCTGGAACCAGGACTCAACCATGACTTTTGGATTCCGGAGCCTGTACTCTTAACCACCAGCTCCTGCAGCTTGGTCCTCATGATCTGGGCAAGGGGGGAGGCTGAAGGCTGCAGCCCTCTTGTCGTCCAGATGGGGAAACTGAGACCCAGAGACTTTAAGGGGCTTATGCACCGGTAAGTGGCAAGGTCGGCCCTGAGTACCCAGGCCTCCCGACCCCCTGCTCCTGGCCCGATACTCTAGGGATGCAGGTGGGGGAAGCTGGGGTCCTGGGGGGCTGCCTGGAGCTCTGCGAGGCATTCTGAACGGCGTCTGAAGTGAGCTCTGCCCTCTGAAAGTCACTTTTCTCATCAGTGAAATGGGGGCAAGGGTCCATGGTCAGACCAAGGTGTTGGCTGCACAGACATCACCGGGAGCCTGCATGGCCCCTGATCACTCCTTCTCCTTCCTCCAGCAAACTCCAGCCTGGCCTCTGACCCCAGTTCAATCTGACCATGACCAAGCCCAAGCGGGCCTTTCCTCCAGAGCTGCTCCAGGGCCTGGCTGTGTGACTGGGGCAAGGTGCTAAACCTCTCTGTGCCTCGCTGGTCTAATCTATAAAATGAAAGAATGGAAACAGACCTCATTAACTCATTAAATATTTGCTGAGCACCTGCCATGTGACAGGCCCTCTGCTGGGTAATGGGGACCTGGGGACAAAGCAAGTGGCACAGATTCTGCCTTTATGGAACTCACGGAACTCACAGTCTGGGGGAAGGGACCCCTACCCGATCATTTGATGGATAGTGTTGGGGGAAGGGCTTTAACTTCTCCACTGAAACCAGAGAAGAGTCTGACATGTCCCTAGAAGGGTCCCAAGTTAAGAGCACAGCAAGGGCCTGGGGTGAGAGAAGGAAAACATTTCCGAGTGGGAGGGGGCCACGTGGGCCAAGAGTGGACCCCCAAGATTGGACAGTGCAGGACCTCAGGGAAGCCATTCAGCTGCAATGCACACTGCTACTCCACTGACCCATCAGATCCCACCAAAGAAAGATGGCGAGGGGCGAGGCGTGGTGGCTCATGCCTGTAATCCCAGCACTTTGGGAGGCCAAGGTGGGTGGGTCACTTGAGGTCAGGAGTTTGAAACCAGCCTGGCCAACATGGTGAAACCTTGTCTCTACTAAAAATACAAACATTAGCCAGGTGGCGGGCGCCTGTAGTCCCAGCTTCTTCGGAGGCTGAGGCAGGTGAATTCCTTGAACCCAGGAGGCAGAGGTTGCCATGAGCCGAGATGACACCACTGCACTCCAGCCTGGGCAACACAGCAAGACTGTGTCTCAAACAAAACAACAAAAAAAGAAAGATGGCTGAGGGGGAAGGGGGAGGAAGGAGAAGGCTCTGGCTGCAGGGTTCCTGGAATATTTGGTTTTGGGGTTTTTTGGAGACAGGGTCTCCCTCTGTCACCTATGCTTGAGTGCAGTGGCATGGATTACAGCTCACTGCAGCCTCAACCTCCTGGGCTCAAGTGATCCTCCCACCTCAGCTTCCCAAGTAGCTGGGACTACAGGCATGTGCCATCACACCTGGCTACTTTTACTTTATCCTGCAAAGACAGGGTCTCGCCATATTGCCCAGGCTGATCTTGAACTCCTGGGCTCCAGCAATTCGCCCAATTTGATCCTCCCAAAGTGTTGGGCCCACAGGCATGAACCACTGCACTTCACCAGAATGTAGGTATTTTAAATATTGATATCACTTCTAGTCAGCTGGGTGACTTTGCCTGATTTCTCAACCTCTCTGTGCTGGCATGAGCTGAGTGGAAATTTCTTGTTCTTGCTTTAGCAGGAAGTTGTGACATAGAGTGTGTCATGCCCATCACTCAGGAGGTGATGGGCCAGGGAAACTCAGAGGTGGCAGGGAATTGCAACAGGAACTAGAGTCTGACTCCACATTTCCACCCGTCTGGATCCCACAGGGCTGAGTCAGTGCCACAGAGTCCCGCTGTCACACATAAGGATGACTCAGCCCCTCTCCACCTTTGGGTCTCTGGCCATGAGCCTGGCCGGGACCTCAGGCTGGAGAGGAAAGTGATTTATTCAAGAACTCATGGGACCCAGGCTCTCCTAACTCATGCACTGATAGACGTGACCTAGCACCTAGTGTGTGCTGGGCACTGTGCAGGTGTGGAGGTGCCCTGAGCACATGGCTGGTCTGACTTTGCCCACATGGAGCTTAGAGTCTGTGGGGCAGTGGACCATAAACAAGGTAACCAGTTAATACACAGGGCAATTTCAGAGTGTGACAAACACTATGAAAAACTGAGTTGGGGTGAGGCAAGAGGGATGGGGGTGCAGTGTTGGCTGGGTGGCTGGCAAGGGCTTTTCAGAGGAGGTGATGCTTCAGCTGAATGACAAGAGGAGCCACTATATGACTAGCGCTGTCCAGTAGAGGACACAGTGAGTGCAAAGGTCCTGCAGTAGGAACGGCTTCAGTATGATTGGCGGTCGGAGGGTGGCCAGGGTCGGTGGAGGCTGACTGAAGGAGTTCACCCCGTGTAGGATCATGTAGGTTGTGGTAAGCAGAGTAGGTTTTTGCCAAAAGCAAAGTGAAGATGTTTCTCTGGGGCTGTAGGACTTCCCGGTCACAGTTCCACTGTAGTCTTATGATCCTCATCTCCCCTGGGAGCCCGGACCATTTGGGCATGCTGCTGTCTCCATGTGGTCCTAGCAAGGGTGGAGTTGCCTCTCTGGGGAAGGAATCATCATCTCACCAGCCATTGTGGGCAGTGTGTGAATCCATAGGGAACTTCTCACCATTGTGCCCTCAGGGTCGGGCCTATGAGCAAAGAAACTTGAAGAATGAGGACTGAGAAGGAAGGGCTCTGGCTTTGGGGACACACTGCCTTGTGTGAGTGAGGAGCCATGGTGACTGAGGGTGAACCACTACTCCCCACGTGTGTCCAGGCTGGAGTGGCAGACACAGGAGAGTTTGTGCTCAAAGGAGGCCCCTGGGGGGCAGGGCCACTACAGCAGCCCTCCTCCCAGCCCCTGGACAGGCACTGAGTCCTACAGCACCAGGTCCAGGGGTGATATGGCTTTGAACCTAGAGCAGGGTAGACTGGGAAGGTTGCTGAGCTGGGGACAGATACCCTCGCATCCAGCCCAGGCCTGAGCCTCTGAGAAAAAGGAAAAAGGAGTTTGAAATGGAGACCAGGGAAGGAGCCCAAGCTGGTTCCCAGGCCAGCACCCTGCAGAGGAGGTGGGTGTGGCGGGGATGGGGAGATGATCTTTCTGGCCAATGCAATATTTTGCAAAAAAAAAAAAAAATCATAAACAAGGGCTGGGCGTGGTGGCTTACGCCTGTAGTCCTAGCACTTTGGGAGGCTGAGGCAGGCAGATCACTTGAGGTCAGGAGTTCAATACCAGCCTGGCCAACATGGTGAAACCCTGTCTCTACTAAAAATATAAAAGTTAGCTGGAAATTGCTTGAACCCGGGAGGCGGAGGTTGCAATGAGCCAAGACGGTGCCACTGTACTCCAGCCTGGGCAACAGAGACTGTGTCTCAAAAAAAAAAAAAAACTTAGACGGGAAGTGTGCCCTCTCACTTCCGCATAGGCCCACCCCTGCTGCCGTCCCAGTGCTTTCTGCCACCAGCCTGGCGCCTGAAGGCAGTTGCCTCTGAGATCCCAAGGGACCCCAATAGGACACACTGCGGCATCTGCCCGGGGCCTGGGCTAACTTGACTTGGATTTGGAGGACATTCCAGCGAGGTAGCCTTTGAGAGGTAAGAGTAGGTGGTCACAGCCCCGGGTCTGGAGTGAAACTGCCTGGGTTCGAATCTTGGCTGTGACAGGAGCTGCTTCTGCACGTGGGTCTCAGAGGAGAAAAACAGGCTCAGGTGAATGTCACACTGACATAATCATAATAAAATAATCATATTGAAAATAATTTATGTATTCGTTGTTTGTCTGAATTTCCAGTGTCACTGGGCATTCTGTATCTTACTTGATAAATCCAGCAACCCTACCAATTGAAACGTGGACTGCCTGACCCGAAGCCCCGCTTAATTTCCCTGCCCAACCACCATTTCAGAAATAGAGACACTCAAGTCCGGACAGCCAGGCCGCCACTGCCCGGTGGCCCCCGACACACTCTAGGTCTCTTTCCCCTGCGGCCCGACAGCCTCGCCCAGGTAGGAGCCTGCTGGAAATGCGGAGGACAGAAAAGCGAGATGCTGGTACTCAGACTCCGTCCCGGCTCTGAAGCCCCGCCCCCGGTCCTGAGGCCCCGCCCCTAGCTGAAGGCCTCGCTGCCAGCCATTCACGTCCCGCCCCGTCCCGGCGGCGCAGAGCCCTCCCCAGGTCGCGCAGGCTGCGCTCGTAGGATCCGCCTGCGGCGCGCAGGCCCCGCCCCAGGCGCGCGAGTCTCCGCCCGTCCTTGCCGGCCCCGGCCCCGCCCCCTGCCTCTGGCTGCTCGGATCAGCTTCCAGTCCGGTCGGCCCGGCCCGGGGGCCATGGAGCTCAGAGCAGCGGATCGCGAGCCTCCTGCGAACCCCAGCCTCCACGCCCGGTTAGCACCCGGCCGGGAGATGAGGCAGTGGAATCTGGAAGGGCGGTGAAAATCCCACGTCCTGCCCTCCCCCGGCCTCTCCATTCGGCCCCCGGGTAGAGAGGTAGGATGGATGGGGTGGAATTCCGGGCTTCTGGCTCTCTCTGCCCCAGACCCTATTGGTGACCTTGAGCTGGGGGTGCCCCCTGGCTGCCTCTTAGGTTGGCAGGAGGTCTCGCAAAGGTCGCTGAGTCCTGCTCCTTTAGGATGGGGACATTGCCTTCCGGTGTTTGGAGTCGTCAAGGGGTTGGATTCCCGGGCGCCATGTGCTTTCACCCCGGCCTGTACCCTCCCCTGCCTCAGTTTTCCCGATAGCCTAGAACCTCATGTGCCTTACCCCTCCCGGCTCTGAGTTTCTGGGTCTTGGCAGGTGCCGGGCTCCCACCCCTTCCCAGCCCCAGCCCTGGAGACAGCAGCCCCTAGACTACCGAGGGACAGCGACAGCATGAAGGCTCCGGTAAGTGGTGGAAGAAGGAGGACTTCCAGGGAACACAGAGACCCCGACCGGCGGAGTAGCTCAGCAGCCTCTCCACCCCAGGACCCACTGCCACTTCTGACCTCCCTGCTGCCGAGCAGAGAAGGGCAGAATGGCCTCAAAGTCCAGCCCTCTGTGTGGCCCCAGGCGGGTGGCATCCCCTCTGCGGTGTCCGTACCTTGCTATCCCTGTAAAACGGAGGTAACACTACGAGCTAACCAGGCAAGGCCTACCTGGGACTGGGGGTGTGAAAGTTCAGTTCAGCCGCTCTTGTCTTTACCGCAGAAGCCCCGGGATGTGGGAGAGAGACAGCTGGATGTTGGGGGCAGTTCATCTCAACTGCCTGAGTCAAGGTCTCTGGTTCCTCATGGGCAGGGGAGCAGGTGCCAGGCAGAACTACCTCCCCTGCACAGCTGGCCACACAGAAAAGGCCTATTTTTAGAAGCTAACATAGCTTGTGGGCAGAAAATGCTGGGCCTCGGGCAGGATGCGCCGGGGTGGGTGGGGGTGATGGGGTGGGGGGTGGCAGCGACTTGCCCACTTCTGATTTTTGGAGAGCACCAGCCAACGGCTCGGTGGCTTCTGAAGGGTGGCCTAGGGACTTGTGCGTCGAGTCTAGAAAACTGGAGCCCAGAGAGACACAGGTGGTGACCAGGGTGGACCACTACCCAGTGACTAGCCCACAGTTCTGCTGCCACCAAGCCCCTCCCCTCCTGGGAGGCTTGATGGTGGTGGAGACATTCACTAAGTCTGCCAGGAGGGCAGCCCCAGGCTGGGCCTAGCCCGGATGGCTAGAAGAGCTTCCTGGTTCCAGCCTTTGGAACATGGTTTCTGGAGGCAGGAGCCTCCAGGCACCAGCTTATCAATTATTAAAGCCATTTCTTGAATGACATTTGCTCCAATCTCCTTGTGCCACCTGGCCTGCTGATCATCAGATGGCCACTGAGTCAGCTGGGGGTGGGGCGGAGGCAGGGCCATACTAGGCAGCCCTGGTCCTAGGCTAAAGGGGCTGGTGACCCTTCTGAGGCACCACTTTCCCGTTGTCATGTGCACAGCACTTTACAGTATACAGAACGCTTTCACTGCCCCTCCCGTAAGTTCACACGGTAGGCGTTATCAGTCTCCAGTTTGTAGAGGAGGAAACAGGCCCAGAGGGATGGAGAACCACAGCTCACACAGTACACCCCAGCCTCCAGTTAGGAATATGGGCTTTCCAGCCTGTATTTAAGGCCCCACTGTGGTGCTTCTTTGCTATATAGCCTTGTACTACTCACTTCACCCTGAACTGCTTTCCTTATCTAGAAGGTGGGGATAATGACAGTGGTATCTCCAGGGCCTTATGTGCCCAGAGCTGGGCATCCCTGGGTAAGGCCCAATGGGTGGAGACCGGATTCTGCTGCTGTTCTAGGAGCTGCTCTAGACCCAGGAGGCCAGGTGCAGCGCTGAAGGGGCTTCTGGGAGCCCCTCCCTACATACACCCGCCCATGGCCACTGTCTCCCTCAGGGTCGGCTCGTGCTCATCCTCCTGTGCTCTGTGGTCTTCTCTGCCATCTACTTCCTCCTGTGCTGCTGGGCTGGCCTGCCTCTCTGCCTGGCCACCTGCCTGGACCACCACTTTTCCACAGACTCCAGGCCTACTGTGCCAGGCCCCTTGCACTTCAGTGGATATAGCAGTGTGCCAGATGGGAAGGTAAGTGGGCCAGGCAATGCATCTGGGGTGGGTAGTGATAGCTGGGCTTGTCCCAAACTGGACCTTGAACTTGGCCCCTCTGCTCACCAGCCATGTGATCCTGGCCAATCATGTCACCTCTCTGAGCCCTAGGTTCTTTTTTTTTTTTTCTTTTTTTTTTTTTTGAGACAGAGTCTTGTTCTGTTGCCCAGGCTGGAGTGCAGTGGTGTGATCTCGGCTCTGAGCCTTAGGTTCTAAGAAGAATTTTTTTTTTTTTTTTTTTTTTTTTTGAGATGGCGCGATCTCGGCTCACTGCAACCTCCGCCTTCCGGGTTCAAGTGATTTTCCTGCCTTAACCTCCCGAGTAGCTGGGATTACAGGCATGCGCCACCACACCTGGCTAATTTTGTATTTTTAGTAGAGATGGGGTTTCTCCATGTTGGTCAGGCTGGTCTCGAACTCCCAACCTCAGGTGATCTGCCTGCCTTGGCCTTTCAAAGTGCTGGGATTACAGGCGTGAGCCACTGTGCCCGGCCAAGAAATTGTTTTTTGTTTGTTTGTTTGTTTGAGAAAGAGAGAGAGTCTCACTCTGTCACCCAGGCTGGAGTGCAGTAATGCGATCTCAGCTCACTGCAACCTCAGCTCACTGCAACCTCCACGTCTCGGTTTCAAGTGATTCTCATGCTTCAGCCTCCCGAATAGCTCACCGGTTCTTGCCCGTCTCGTCCTGGAAGATCTGGTCACAGTAGGCCCTCATGCGCTCAGTGAAGGTGTACACCTGCAGGCTGGGGTACATCCCGGTGAGCTGCAGCAGTGTGCGGTAGGTGCGGCCGCCGAGCACCGGGTCCATGTGCCTGCCCTAGCCCTGCCCTGGGACTACAGGCGTGCGCCACCACACCTGGCTAATTTTTAGAGATTGGGTTTCACCATGTTGGCTAGGCAGGTCTTGAGCTCCTGATCTCAAGTGATCCACCCACCTCAGCCTCCCAGAGTGCTGGAATTACAGGTGTGAGCCACCGTGCCCGGCCAGATGTTGTTTTCTTTTTCTTTTTCTTTTTTTGCATTTATATTTTTATTTGTTTATTTATTTTAGACAGGATCTCACTCTGTCAACAGGCTGGAGTGCAGTGGCACAATCTCGGCTCACTGCAACCTCTGCCTGCCAGATTCAAGGGATTCTCCTGCCTCAGCCTCCTGAGTAGCTGGGATTACAGGAGTGTGCTACCATCCCCAGCTAATTTTTGTGTTTTTGGTAGAGATGGGGTTTCGCCATGTTGGCCAGGCTGGTCTCGAACTCCTGACCTCAGGTGATTCACCCACCTCAGCCTCCCAAAGTGCTGGGATTACAGGTGTGAGCCTCTGCTCCCGGCCCAGATGTTTTCTTCCCCATTTTACAGATGAGAGACTTGAGGCTCACAGAGGCCAGTGACTTGGCCTCAGGCCACATAGCTAGGAGGGGCAGAGCCAGGATTCAGGCTCAGGACCAGGGAGTCCCACAGCTGAGGCTCACAGAGGCCAGTGACTTGGCCTCAGGCCACATAGCTAGGAGGGGCAGAGCCAGGATTCAGGCTCAGGACCAGGGAGTCCCACAGCTGTCCTGGGCACTGACGACCCTGCTTTTACTTAGAAACTGGGCACAGTGTGGGTGAGGCATGTGCAGGGGAGGGGGTGGCCTGAGAGTGACTCTGAAGAACTGAGGTTCATGTTTACTTCACAAATACTTATATGACCTCCAGTCTGTGCCAGCCACTGTTCTAAGTGTTTTATAAATATTTGCTCAAGGAAACTTCATAAGAACTTATTATGTAGAAATAGTTAGGGCCTCAGAGGCAGCCACAGGAATGAGGACCACAAATATGGCTGATGAGGAAGGGGGGGGGCGGCTGAGTGCAGAACCTTAGCTCTGACACTGGATATCGCTGTGATCTGGGAAAGTCATCCCTGCTGCCCAGCCTGCAAAATGGGTTAATAACAGTCCTTCGAGCCGATACCTGATCAAGTAAGGTTGGTGGATATACCTGGGGGAGGCGCAGGGGGTGTAAGCTGCATGCTCACGCCTCTCTGTCTCTTTCTCCCTGCCTGCCCTGCAGCCGCTGGTCCGCGAGCCCTGCCGCAGCTGTGCTGTGGTGTCCAGCTCCGGCCAGATGCTGGGCTCAGGCCTGGGTGCTGAGATCGACGGTGCCGAGTGCGTGTTCCGCATGAACCAGGCGCCCACCATGGGCTTTGAGGCAGACGTGGGCCAGCGCAGTACCCTGCGTGTCATCTCACACACAAGCGTGCCGCTGCTGCTGCGCAACTACTCACACTACTTCCAGAAGGCCCGAGACACGCTCTACGTGGTGTGGGGCCAGGGCAGGCACATGGACCGGGTGCTCGGAGGCCGCACCTACCGCACGCTGCTGCAGCTCACCAGGATGTACCCCGGCCTGCAGGTGTACACCTTCACTGAGCGCATGATGGCCTACTGCGACCAAATCTTCCAGGACGAGACGGGCAAGAACCGGTGAGCCTGGGGCCTGCCTGCTGGGGTCTCCCTGGCAGCTGGGGACCTTCATTCTCTGCCAGTCTCTTGTCCATCAGGGCTCTGCTCTGTCACGCCCACGAGGTCAGCACTCATGGAGGCAGACATGGTCCTGCCCTCTAATGGGGGGCAGGAGGCAGAGGGGATGTCACTCAGGAAACTGTCACACAGATCTAGAATCCCAAATGGTGGTGAGAGCTATCAGGCCTTTTGAGCACCCGATGGGAAGCACTGGGCAGTGTGTGGAGGGGCATGAGGGAGCACTTCTCTCTGGAGGGAATGGTCTGTCTAACTTGGTCTCTGATATCCTTTCTGGATAATAAAAGTTAGAGGCCGGGTGCGGTGGCTCACGCCTGTAATCCCAGCATTTTGGGAGGCCAAGGCGGGAGGATCACTTGAGGTCAGGAGTTTGAGGCCGGCCTGTCCAACATGGTGAAACCCCGTCTCTACTAAAAATACAAAAATTAGGGCCAGGCGTGGTGGCTCACACCTGTAATCCCAGCACTTCGGGAGACCCAGGTGGGAGGATCACAAAGTCAAGAGATCAAGACCACCCTGGCCAACATGGTAAAACCCCGTCTCTACTAAAAATATAAAAATTAGCCAGGTGTGATGGCGCATGCCTGTAATTCTAGCTACTCAGGAGAGTAGCTGAGGCAGGAGAATCGTTTGAACCTGGAGGCAGAGGTTGCAGTGAGCCAAGATCACGCCACTGCACTCCAGCCTGGGTGACAGAGTGAGACTCTGTCACAAAAAGTAAAACAAAACAGAGCAATAACAGCCCTCTTAGCTCACCAGGCACTGGGTGAAGCACTCTGCATTCAAGGTTTCATTTTATGTCATACCCAAAAGCACACTCATGACTCTTGCCGGTCCCTCCTCCACACGCATGCTCCTCCACCGGCCTCTGTGCTCAGGAGACAGAACAGTCAGCCGCTGGTGTATCCACCAGAAAATTGGACTGTGCCTCTGACTCCCCTTGTACCATCATCTGCCACATACAATGGCCCATGGCTGCCACCTTGACCTAAGCTGCAGGCTTCCCACCCCCACCACTCCTGGCCTGCCTGCCCTGCGTGATCCTGCCCCTGCCTGCCTCTGTGACCTTGTGTCTCCTTCAGTCTCCCTGTTCTACCCATACTGGCTATCTGGGGCTCAGACATCCATGCCAGTTCTACCTGTAGTCCTTTGCACCTGCCGTTCCGTCTCCCTGGAATGTTCTCCCAGATCTTCCCATGACAGGCTCCTCTTGCTACTCAGGTCACCTCCTCAGGGAAGCCCGCTCTTACCACCCCATCTGAAGGGGTGCCTCCCGCCCTCGCATTCTTTTTTTTCTTTTTTTGAGACGGAGTCTCGCTCTGTCGCCCAGGCTGGAGTGCAGTGGCGAGATCTTGGCTCCACTGCAACTCCGTCCCCCGGGTTCACGCCATTCTCCTGCCTCAGCCTCCTGAGTAGCTGGGACTACAGGTGCCCGCCACTGCGCCCGGCTAATTTTTTGTATTTTTAGTAGAGACGGGGTTTCACTGTGTTAGCCAGGATGGTCTCGATCTCCTGACCTTGTGATCTACCTGCCTCAGCCTCCCAAAGTCCTGGGATTACAGGCGTGAGCCACCGCGCTCGGCTGCCCTGGCATTCTTTATCCATTCCTTTGTTTCCTTGTCTTGGCAGCAGGTGTCATCCTCTGCCATCATCTTGCTTATAGATTTGTCTCCTAGCTACTTGTTTATCTATTTGTCTCCTTCCCTTGGGAATGTTAGCACCAGATGAAGCAGGTTCAGGGCCAGCACAGGGCCTGGGTGGGGCTCAGTTTGAATGAATGAACCAGTTCATATCTGCCCTGTAGAGGTCGAGGGCGGTGGCCCTTGGCTGGGAGGGTACCCAGGGCTGCTGCCTCCAGAGAGCTGAGGCTGGGGCCACCACCTAGTCCCTTACTCCAAGTGGAGCATGGGGGCATGGGGGCAGGAGCTGGGCTGACAGTGTTCCCTCCCTATAACCCCTAGAATTATCTCCACTTCACAGACCGGTCATGAGGCTCAGAGAGGTTCACGAGCAAATGTGATGCCCATGGCAGAGCCAAGGTTCAAGTGGAAGATCCTTGGACTCTAGACAACCCTGCCCGACTTCAAACCGCAGTGCCCTGCTGCTTTCTGCTGTCTCCCCAGGCCTGGTCCCTTAGATGAGGAGAGGACATGGCCAGAGCCTCCACACCCATCATCCAGGGGTTTGCTCAAACCCTGCAAAGCGTAACTGGGCCCAAGTCCCGCTGGGTGCTGAGGAGGTGATCAGGCCTGGGTTTGTGTGCCGTTCTGCCTGTCACCCACTGCTAGCCTTGGGCTGGCTCTGCCCCCTCCCCAGCCTCCCCCAGGGTCCCCCACAAGAGGTTGAGGTGCGTAGCCCTGGACTGGGAAAGTACCAAGTGCCACTGGGGCCTGGAGCCACCACGTGGCCCCATGTTGATAACGTCCCCCTGTCCCCCCAACCCACCCCCAGGAGGCAGTCGGGCTCCTTCCTCAGCACCGGCTGGTTCACCATGATCCTCGCGCTGGAGCTGTGTGAGGAGATCGTGGTCTATGGGATGGTCAGCGACAGCTACTGCAGGTCAGACCGGCCGGGCCGGGCACGCGGGGACACGGGGAGCACTGTGAGCCCTCCCAGGCCTTAAGCCAGAGGATTTGGGAGCTGTGGGGGCACAGAGTGTGTGGGTTTCATGGTGGGTGACCATAGCACAGATACCCCTTGGGCTCTGGGCCTTGGGAAAGAGTTCAGTGTCAAACAGGCTACCTTACCAACAACCCCAGTGCTGCTCGTTGTGGCCACGGGCTGGTCACGGGCCAGTCATGCCACCCTGCAGACCCTCTGTTTCCTTATGTGGAAAATAGAGAAAAGAACCACATCTTCCTTGGAAGGTTGTTGAAACATTTAGGGGAGGAATAATCCACAAAAGTGCTTACCACAGTCAGGGCCTATATATATAGGGCCTAAATAGATATATACACACACATACACATATATATGTGATATATTTTATATGTTTTAATTTTTGATATTATATATGATTTCTGATATTATATACTATTTGATATTATATACCATAATGACATGAAGTTCAGATGTTTATGGTATGATTTTGTACCATCGTTATATTATTATATTTCTTTTCTTTTTTTTTTTTTTTTTTTTGAGACGGAGTTTTGCTCTTGTTGCCCAGGTTGGGGCTGGAGTGCAGTAGCGCAGTCTCGGCTCACTGCAACCTCTGCCTCCCGGGTTCAAGCAGTTCTCCTGCCTCAGTCTCCCTAGTAGCTGGGATTACGGGCGCGTGCTACCACGCCCAGCTAATTTTTTGTATTTTTAGTAGAAACGGGGTTTCATCATGTTGGCCAGGCTGATCTAGAACTCCTGACCTCAGGTGATCCACCCACCTTGGCCTCCCCAGGGATCAGGGATTACAGGTGTGAGCCACCGCACCTGGCCTATATTATTATATTTCAATATCATGGAAACTAACGAGTTCAGAACAGGTCACCCAGGTGACAGGTGTCCCTGTGCCCCAGCCATGGCCCTGGCCACACGGCTGGCCCCTGTGATGCTGATGGGGAGGTGGGCGTGCAGGGCTGGTGGCTCTGTGACATAAGAGTGAGGGGCTCCTCCCTCACCAGGAGCCCAGCACCACTAGCAGGGTGCTTGCCGTCTCCATTTCTTGATCTATGCGCTCGTTCTAGAAGGTGGATGTGACCATCTGCATTTTACACATGGGATATTGAGGCTCAAAGGGTCCATCTCTGGCCCAGAGTCATCCAGCTAGCAAGAGGCAGAGCCAGGACTTGAGACCTGGCCTTTGGGATTTGCTACTCCCCTATGTGTCTTGGCCTTCCCAGGGATCAGGCATGGGTCTCCATGAGCCCATGGGCCTGGCAAGGGGTGGTCAAGGTAGGCAGCAGGGTGTGACAGGAGGTGAGTGAGTTCTGTCCCACACCAGCCCTGTTCCCCACCCCACAGGGAGAAGAGCCACCCCTCAGTGCCTTACCACTACTTCGAGAAGGGCCGACTGGATGAATGTCAGATGTACCTGGCACACGAGCAGGCGCCCCGAAGTGCCCACCGCTTCATCACTGAGAAGGCAGTCTTCTCCCGCTGGGCCAAGAAGAGGCCCATCGTGTTCGCCCATCCGTCCTGGAGGACTGAGTAGCCTCTGTCACCCTGCCAGCCGCCATGCTGTTGGGAGGCCTCTGGGATGTCCCATCCCAGGCCATCACACTCCACAAAAACATTTAATTTATGGATCCTGCCTCCTGCCACGTGCTGGGTGGAGTGCCCCCACTCTGGCAACACTTGGAGCCATCTCAGGTCTCATGACTTGAAGGGGAGTGGAATGAGGAGCCCTGTCTCCACCTCTACTCCCTGAGTAATTCATGGCATTTGGGGGCTTACCCCACCTCCAGGTCTGTCAAGTGGCCTTTGTCCCTCGGGCTGATGGCCCCCTACTCACCAGCATCATGACCTTGTGCCAGTCCTGGTCCTTCCTCCCCAGCCACCCCTACTACCTTTTGGTGCCACACTTCTCAGGCCGGCCGCCCTGGTTGGGGCAGCCAAGAGCCTGGGGTTCGTTGGGTGAAGGGGCCTTGGAGTTGTGACTGCCGGGGCCGTATCAGGAACGTACGGGTAAACGTGTGTTTTCTGGACACTGTCTCTAGCGTGGTCATGGTCTAATGTGGAGACTGGAGCTTCTTTCCCTGTCACAATCTCAAAAGCTTTTTTTTTTGAGACAGAGTTTTGCTCTTGTTGCCCAGCCTGGAGTGCTGTGGCGTGATCTCGGCTCACTGCAACCTCCGCCTCCCGGGTTCAAGCAATTCTCCTGCCTCAGCTTCCCAAGTAGCTGGGATTACAGGCGCGTGCCACCACGCCCAGCTCATTTTTTGTATTTTTAGTAGAGATGGGGTTTCATCATGTTGGCCAGGCCGGTCTCAAACTCCTGACCTCAGGTGATCCACCCGCCTCAGCCTCCCAAAGTGCTGGGATTGCAGCGGTGATCCACTGAGCCCAGCTGTCCCAGAAGCTGTTGACTGGAATCCCTGAGGCCCCTACCTGGGCCCACAATGGCTGGGCTTCAGTTTCTTCCCCAGCAACCTCCTGCTGGTGGCCCCAGCCCAACCCCTTCCCCAGTAGGTCAGGGCTGCTCCAGGGGGTTGGTTCCTTCACTGCTCTGGCCCAGGAAACTGACCCCAGGCCAGAGACTTCTTTGGGAACCCCGTTCTGTACCCAGTGAGAAGAGAGCCAGGGCCAGGAGGAAGGACTCTGAGTGGGAGGGAAAGTCCTCCACCCATATTGCTTCCCTGGTTCTAGGTCAATGGCAAGTTAAATTAGCTGTTAAATCTGGGGTTGGGCCTGGCACAGTAGGGGCTAAGGCGGGAGTATTGCTTGAGACCAGGAATTTGAGACCAGCCTGGGCAACATGACAAAACCAGTCTCTACCAAAAAAAAAAAAGTGGGCCAGGCACAGTGGCTCACGCCTGTGATCCTAGCACTTTGGGAGGCCGAGCTGGGCAGATCACAGATCACTTGAGATCAGAAGTTTGACACCAGCGTGGCCAACATGGTGAAATCCTGTCTCTACTAAAAATATGAAAAATTAGCAGGATGTGGTGGCGGGTGCCTGTAATCCCAGCGACTTGGGAGGCTGAGGCAGGAGAATTGCTTGAACCCGGGAGGCGAAGGTTGCTGTGAGCCACTGCACTCCAGCCTGGGCGACAGAGTGAGACTCCATCTCAAAAAAAAAAAAAAAGAAAGAAAGTGGGTTTAGTCTCCCTGCAAAGCAGGAAGGCAGAGGGCAGCCCTGGGTGGGTGCTGTGAGGGAGTCTAGCCTGGCTCAGGCCTTATTTTCCTCACCTATAAAGTGAGGAGAAGGGCCGGGCGCGGTGGCTCGTCTGTAATCCCAGCACTTTGGGAGGCCTAGACGGGCGGATCACGAGGTCAGGAGATCGAGACCATCCTGGCTAACACAGTGAAACCCCGTCTCTACTAAAAGATACAAAAATATAGCCGGGCGAGGTGGCGGGCGCCTGTAGTCCCAGCTACTCAGGAGGCTGAGGCAGGAGAATGGCAGGAACCCAGGAGGCGGAGCTTGCAGTGAGCTGAGATCTGGCCATTATACTCCAGCCTGGGCGACAGAGCGAGACTCCGTCTCAAAAAAAAAAAAAAAAAAAAAGTGAGGAGAAAAGACCCACCAGCAGAACCTTGCCATCCTCAGAGGAGGGCCGGTGCTAGCCGGATTTACAGATGAGCTGAGGCCACTCAGCTGAAGCCGGATGACTGTGGAGCAGCTGGGCCAGGGTGCAATACCATGTCTAAGAGCTGAGCCCGAGGACCTCAGCCCTGCACCCCTGGGCTGGAGAAAGCCCCCAAGCATCACCCCTCCCAGGCATCACTACTTCATTTGGGGACTGGAAGACTCAGAGGACTGGGCCAGGGCCTCAGGCTGTCAGCTGGGATGCAGCCCTGGGGTTCTAGCTGCCAGTTCCAGGGGTCAGGGCCCTCTGCTAATGCTCTGCTGTTGCCAACTTGAAATTCTTAGGTTTTTCTTTTTTTTTTTTTACAAGAGGACTTGCATTTTCATTTTGCACTGGATCCCAGAAATTATGTAGCCAGTAGTCCCGGGTGCTCTGGGTGACCCGGCACACTCTCCCTCCCATCCTTGGCTTTCACAGAGGGGCCTGAGACCTGGCGCTTGGTTCACAGCACTGCTTTTATGCCCTGCCTCCCCCTGCCCAGTGCCAGATGGACCCAGAAGTTTCTGCAGGAATGGGAGGGGGGGAGGAGAGCCCTGAGCTGGCGAAGCAGGCAGCAGGCTGGCAGCGGAGCCACAGCACAGAGCGAGGGGCTCTGAACAGGTGTCAGGCAGAGGTAAGGGAGGGATGGAGCCTGGTAGGCGGAGGTGGAGGGGGTTTCTGGGCTCAGGGTGGGGTCCCTGGAGTCAAGGCCTGACTTCTCTCTGGCCCCACTTTCTGCTGTTGGGGTCCTGGCAGATTAGTGCCCCTCTCTGGGCCTGTTTTGTCATCTGTAAAAGGTTAAAATAGTCCCCGCCTCACAGATTCAGACAGTGGACTGTCCCTGTGGTTTATGATATAGCAGGCACTTGACATGTGGAGCCAGCATTTTTCGTGGGGTTCGTCTGCCTCGGCTGGCCCTGCCCTTCCTTCGTGGTGACAGATGGCAGGAAGCCCCTGGCCCATAGGTTGTCTCCCTACTCCCTGCCTCTTCCTGGGTGTCCAAGGTCCAGGGTCCGCTGGTTCTGATGGGATTTGAATTCCACTCACTCCTGGGAGGCTGCCTTCTGTTCCTCCTCCATCCCCTGGGCAGAGGCTGACCCAGCCCTTGGGCCCAGGACACACAGGCTCCTCTAATCTGGCTCTGCCCTTGGGTGGGGTATTTACTGCTGGGTTGGCCCAGATCCTGTGTCTTTCTAGGGGTGGTAACCTGGCAGGAGTGATGCGTCAGTCACTTCCTCCAGGCAGACGGAGATGATCCTTGACAGGTCTGGTGGCTGGCTCGGGGTCTGCTGAAAGCTGTCTTGACCAGGAAACCGAAGACTCTGCTTTTGCCACAGCGGTTCCTGCAGCTGCCTTGAGGTGAGCCCAGGGCAGGAGCCTCCCCACAGCCCCCGGGATCACGTGGGTCTGCAGCCACACTTTGGGCCTTTGTTGTCCTTCCTGTTCATACCCTGGTTCCTTTGCCCCTCTGCAGACTGGCTAGGGACCTACGCTACTTCCTCCAAACCCAGAGGGGAAGCCAGGTAAGCCTCACAGCCCGGAGGCGTCCTAAGGGGCCTTTTCCTTAGAAGGGCCATGGGGCTAGGCCCAGAGCTCAGCTCACAGTTCACACACCTTCACCTTGTAAGGAAAAAATGAAATGAAAAACCTCACACACCCAGGTGAGGACCGGAGCATCTGGCTTTGGGGGACTGGTGGGCCCTAGCGTCTAGGCTCATCTAGGCCCGTCTGCCCTCTCCAGCCTCTGTGGGGGAAGAGGCAGTACTTCCTTGTTCCAGACCCTCTGGCCGGAAGCCCAGGTCCTATGCTATGGAGCAGGCCCTGTGTGCAGGCCCCCACCTGCCCGCCACTCTCACAGGCCTCTCCTCTCCAGAAGCCCCTCCCCTAGCCAAAAGCCCAGAGGGAGAGAGGCCAGAGTCCTCAGGTCTGGCTCGTAGCCTGGCTTTGCCCAGGACCCGCTGCGGAGTCTTGGGCAAGTTCTGTTCTCTCTCTGGCGTTTGATCTTGGTTTCTTTGAATTGGGAGCTGGGGCAGGTGAGGGGGACTCTTAGGGCTCTTTCCAGAATACCATGGAAGGGAAAAATCCTAACAGCTCAAAGAAGTTTGCTAAGGGTCAGGACGAAGGGGGGTACACAGGCCTCTCCTACCCCTGGGGCAGGAAGGGTCAGAGCAGAGGCCAGCTCTCCCAGACCGTGGGGGAACGGCTGTGGGGGAGGCCCACGAGGACTGGCCACAGCCACTGTGCAGGAACGTCCTGGTGTGCCCTGGCCTGGCTCTCACAGGCCCGAGGCTTCTGTGTAGAACATGTCCGTGGTTATTAAACAGGCAGGCCTAGTGGAAACAGCCCTGCCACCTGCGTGTTCTCTGAACCTGTTTCTCCCTCTGGAAAGTGGGTTAATCTCAATACCCAACTCATAGGCCACCTTAAGGATTCAATGAGGTGTGTTTGCAAAGCGCCTGGCACAGAGTAAGCCGTTCTGCTTCTCATCCTTGTTATTACTATTATTGAGATGGTTGCTGTCGTTCTTGAGGCTCAAGAAGGGAAGCCAGGCCTGAAGCAAATTGTGCTGGAGCGAGCCTGGGCCCAGAGACGTGGCAGGTTGGACGGGCAGCTCCACGTCCAGATGCCGTCCAGGAGCAGGGCCAAAGCACCCTCGCACTTCTGGATGTTTGATTTGGGTCACTGGCCTGGGTTAGTGAGAAGGGCTGGGGACAGGATGTTTCCTTCCCTGGTTCAGCCCCCAACCCCCTGGGTGGCCTTGGGCTAGAGGTGTTCCTCTGAGTCCTCAGAAGTCGAGTTCATCAGGCCTCCTGCCTGATCACCCTGCCCCCACTCCGTGGTTTTCCATCCTGTTGCTTGTAGGGCGGGGTCAGCGACCTAGGAGGGCCATGGGTAGGGCTTGGTTTGAGGCTCAGGAAGCGGATGGAGGTGGGCACCAGGGACAGGAAGCCTCAAACCCACCCTTGCGGGCCACCCTCTCCCTGCCTGGTGGGCGGTGCCTGTACTGCCTAAAGGCTGTCCCCTGGCGGACTGCTGACTTTCATTTTAATTGGAAACAAAGTGTTATTAAGGCTTCCCATGTAAGTACAATGCAAACAACCTACAAGTTTATAAAGGGAAAAGTGAAGGCAGCTCCCAACCGTCCTGACCCACCTTCACTTCAACAGGGAATCAACTGCAGGTGGAGTCCTAGTGGGCCCTTCCAGACACCTTCTGTGTGCATTTACAAATACTATGTGTAGTTGTATAATTTTAAAAAGCAAGCAAAGGCCAGGCATGGTGGCTCACGCCTGTAATCCCAGCACTTTGGGAGGCTGAGGCAGGCGGATCACGAGGTCAGGAGATCGAGACCATCCTGGCTAACATGGTGAAACCCCGTCTCTACTAAAAATACAAAAAATTAGCCAGGCTTGGTAGTACGCGGCTATAGTCCCAGCTACTCAGGAGGCTGAGGCAGGAGAATGGCATGAACCCGGGAGGCGGAGCTTACAGGAAGCTGAGATAGCGCCACTGCACTCCAGCCTGGGTGACAGAGCAAGACTGTCACAAAAAAAAAAAAAAAGCAAGCAAAAAAAATTATGCTATATATTGCAGTTTGCTTTTAGAAATTAAAAAAATATATATATATTTTTTGAGAGGGAGTCTCGCTCTGTCGCCCAGGCTGGAGTGCAGTGGCCAGATCTCAGCTCACTGCAAGCTCCGTGTCCTGGGTTTACACTATTCTCCTGCCTCAGCCTCCCGAGTAGCTGGGACTACAGGCACCCGCCACCTCGCCCGGCTAGTTTTTTGTATTTTTAGTAGAGGCGGGGGTTTCACCGTGTTAGTCAGGATGGTCTTGATCTCCTGACCTCGTGATCTGCCCGTCTCGGCCTCCCAAAGTGCTGGGATTACAGGCTTGAGCCACCGCGCCCAGCCAAAAAATACATTTTTTTTTTTTTTTTTGAGGCGGAGTCTCGCTCTGTGGCCCAGGCTGGAGTGCAGTGGCCAGATCTCAGCTCACTGCAAGCTCCGCCTCCCGGATTTACGCCATTCTCCTGCCTCAGCCTCCCGAGTAGCTGGGACTACAGGCGCCCGCCACCTCGCCCAGGTAGTTTTTTGTATTTTTTAGTAGAGACGGGGTTTCACCGTGTTAGCCAGGATGGTCTCGATCTCCTGACCTCGTGATCCACCCGTCCCGGCCTCCCAAAGTGCTGGGATTACAGGCTTGAGCCACCGCGCCCGGCCCTTTATTTGTATTTTTAATAGAGACAGGGTTTCACCATATTGGCCAGGCTGGTCTTGAACTCCTGACCTCAAGTGATCTGCCCGCCTGCGCCTCCCAAACTGCTGAGATTACAGGCGTGAGCTACCGTGCCCAGCCTCTATTGTGTAGTTTTTACTCATCTTCCCAGACCTTTTTCACTCCTTGTGTCTCTAAGATTCATCCGTGTAATTGTAGATCATTCATTTTACCCTGTTACGTGTTATTCCACAGTGTGAACCTTCCATTGTGTAAAACAATTCCATTCTTTTGTTGATGGATATTTGGGGTTTTTACCTGTTTTGTATTATTTCAAGCGATGCTGCTATGAACCTCCTTGGGCACATCTGCAAGAATTTCTCCAGGGCATGTTTACTCAGCTGTGGAATGCAAATGTTTAGGACTTTGTTTCCAAGACAGTTCTTCTTCTTCTTCTTCTTCTTCTTCTTCTTTTTTTTTTTTTTTTTTTTTTTGAGAGGGAGTTTAGCTCTTGTTGCCCAGGCTGGAGGCTGGAGTGCAATGGCATGATCTCGGCTCACTGCTATCTCTGCCTCCTGGGTTCAAGCGATTCTCCTGCCTCAGCCTCCGGGGTAGCTGGGATTACAAGGGCCCGCCACAACGCCTCGCTAATTTGTGTATTTTTAATAGAGACGGGAGGCGGGGGTGGCGGGGGAAGGGGGTGGTGGTGGTTTCATCATGTGGGCCAGGCTGGTCTCTTAACTCGTGACCTCAGGTGATCCACCCGCCTCAGCCTCCCAAAGTGCTGGGATTACAGCCACTGGGCCTGGCTGGCAGTTCTTTAACTTGCTTTCTTCACGTAAATATCCTGTAAATATCCCGGCCATGCTTTCCTGCCAAGGCATACTGACCTGCACCCTTCCTTTTGGTTTTGTTTTGTTTTGTTTTGTTTTGTTTTGTTTTGAGACAGAGTTTCGCTTTTGTTGCCCAGGCTGAAGTGCAATGGCGCAATCTCGGCTCACCGCAACCTCTGTCTTCCAGGTTCAAGCGATTCTCCTGCCTCAGTCTCCGGAGTAGCTGGGATTACAGGCGTGCTCCACCACGCCAGGCTAATTTTGTATCTTTAGTAGAGACGGGGTTTCTCCATGTTGGCCAGGCTGGTCTGAAACTCCTGACCTCAGGTGATGCACCTGCCTCGACCTCCCAAAGTGCTGAGATTACAGGCGTGAGCCACCGCTCCTGGCCCGCATCCTTCATTTTAACAGCCTCCTCGTGCACTTCGGCAGGCTGTGCCTTAACTTAAGCAGTCCCCTAGCAATAGCCACTTAAGTTATTTTCCCCTATCACGTACAGTGATGTCATGGATGTCCTGGTAATTACAAGAAGGAACATTTTAAGTTTTTCCAGCTGTGTGAAGTTGTCCTTCTCCCTATTTTCCAGAGGTAGGGAGAAGGAAAGTTATGTGCTAAGGCCGCGCAGCTGGCGAATGGCAGAGCGGAACTTGAATCTGAGGGTGAACCCTGTGTTTGCCCAGGTGACTACTTGCCCAGGGTGCAAGGCAGGGAGCTGAAGGCCCTTGGTGGGGAGCCCAGGGAGAAACTCCACTGAGTCCAAGCACAGCGTGCTCCGGAACTCAGTTTCCCCATCCGGGGTCATGGTGGCAATAAGGAGCTAGAAGTGGGCCTGATCAACACTACAGGGAGCCGAAAGGCTGTTGTATTTTGGTGGTCACCCTGGGCTGCCCAGTGGGATGACCGAGGCCCTCACGCAGGGGCGGCTCCCGGGTTCGCCTCCCTTTTCCCTTCCCCGCCCGCGTCGCCCGTGGGCGGAGCCACCCGCGGCCCCGAGGCTCCGCCCACCTCCCAGGCCCGTGCCGGGCCGTGACGGCGGCGCTAGGACCCGGCGGGCCGCGGGTGCGGCGGGGCCTGGGCCGCCTGAGGAGCGCGGACCCCGGCGCTCGGCTCCCGGCGCCATGTGAGGGGGTTCGGGGGCCGCGGGGGGCCGGGCGCTCCCCGCCGGAGGTGAGCAGGCGCCGAACGGGAGCTGGTCGCGGGGGCGGGGGCGGGGGCTGGGGCGGAGGGCGCCCGGAGAGGAGATCGATAATCGCCGGCGATGGGGATGGCTGCGGGGCCCCCGGCGGCACCCCAGACCCCTTCCCCCTTGGTAGCTGCGCCCCGAGGTCCCGGTCCTCGCGCCCAGGGGCTGTTGCGGGGTCCGCTGGGCCTCTTGCCACCGACTACCCCGTCAGCGGTCCTGCCTCTCTTTTCTTCCCAGCTGGGGTTAGGGCTCCGGACCCCCGGAGTGCAGGAGTTGGGGAGGGGGTTGGCGCGAGGGGCGCGCTGGGTGAGCCCCCCACCAGGTGGACCCATGGGTTCGGCGTCCCCCATCGTCTCGGAATTAGGAGCCCCCCTCCCCCTTCTCCCTGGAGCCCTCCTCCCTCGCGGGTTCGTGGGGGCGTCCCGATCTGCGGGAGGACTCCCGGGGCTGGAAGAAGGAAAACCCCCAAACAGAGGGCAGGGTGTGGCCCCCACCCTCGGCTCCTGCTTAGCTCGCCTGCACGTCCAGCCTTGGGCTGAGTCTATGCTCCTGGGCCAGCGATCGAGGCTGCTGCCTCCCCAGCCTGAGCAAGCCGCTCCTCAACAGGCCTCCAGACCCCCGCCCCGTTGCCGGTGCCGAGCCACGTCCTGGGCACACACTCCATGGCCTCTGACCCGTTCCAGCCGAGGGGGATCCTCCAGGGAGACGAAGTCAGGCTCAGCCCTGGGCTGCTCCCTGTAAACAAGCCTGTAAACAAGGCTCTCAAGCCGGCTCTGGGCAGCCCCGCAAGGCGCTTTGCCTCTCTGAACCTCAGTCTCCTTATCTGTGAAATGGGCGACAAGGGCTCTTACCATGCATTGCCTTGATTCAGCGCGTGGGTGATGCTTAGAACGTGTTCCCACACATATTCCTTGATATTCCGGGAAAGTCGCCGCACTGGGGTCAGGGGAGGAGTGCTTCACTGACACACGGAGAGGCGGGACTTGAACAGTGATTAACTGCAAGACTAACAGCTGTTGGCATTGTGGACGCACTTTCTTTTCTTTCTTTATGTTATTTTATTTATTTTTGTTTTTGTTTTTGGGACAGAGTCTCGCTCTGTCGCCAGGCTGGAGTGCAGTGGCACCATCTCGGTTCACTGCAACCTCCGCCTCCCGGGTTCAAGCGGTTCTCCTGCCTCAGCCTCCGGAGTAGCTGGGGCTACAGGCACCCGCCACCATGCCCGGCTCATTTTTGTATTTTTGGTAGAGATGGGGTTTCACCATGTTGGCCAGGATGGTCTCGATCTCTTCACCTGGTGATCTGCCCACCTCAGCCTCCCAAAGTGCTGGGATTACAGGCGTGAGCCACGGTGCCCGGCCAATGTGGGAGCACTTTCAAGCCCCGCGTGTCCCTTGCCACATCTGCTTGAATCCTTCCAACAACCCCCTGAGTTACCGACTCTTATTGTTCCCATTTCACAGATGAGGAAACTGAGGCTCAGAGAGGTCACATGGCTTGCTCGAGGCCCCCCAGCCAGTAAGTGGTGAAACCGGAATTCGCACGGGCACCTGACATGCTGTACTGACCATGGCCTTCTCAGAGCAGGACTGTGACGGGGCGGACCAGGGGGACGCTGGTCCTGGCTGAGGGCACAGCTCGGGCAAAGGTGGGAAAGTAGGGGGCGGGCAGAGGGCATCCGCAGGCAAGGGTGGCCACGCATAATAAGATAGAAGCGGCTGGACCCCTGGGCGCCTTGAATGCCGAGGTCTCAGGGCTGATGGGGCCACCCCAGGATTCTGGACTCCTGTCTTTTGCTCTAACGGTCTGTGAGGACAAGAATAAGCCGCTCCTCGCTTCTGATGAGGCCCCATTTTCTGCTGTGTACCGCGAGGTCTGGACTAGATGGGAGTCTGGGTCTCCCTGACTGGCTGTGAAGGGCCGGCGCTGGAGAAACCTGATACCGAGCTTGGGATGAGGGGGGCTCCCATGGGGAGGGGGCGGGGTTGGGGAGGGGGCGGGGCCAGGATCTAACCATTCAGGAGGGAGGTGTGTGTGCCAAGCCTCCTCTGGCACGAGGTTCTCTGGCTCTTCCTGGTGGCCGTGTAGGAGTAAACAGCGGCTAGGTCAAAGGGCTCAGAGAGTGACAGAAACTGAGAGACCCCTGGAGGAGGGGACGGAACTGAGGAAGGTCCCCTAAGCCCCAGTTTCCTCCCTCTGCACTCCTGCCGGCCCTGCCCCCTGGCCTGTCTGCTGGAGGTAGGCTGGACACAGTACATTTTCCCTTTCACAGGTGGGGAAGTGGAAGTCTGGAAAGGAGCTGAGTTTTGGGTGGTGGGAGAGGGAGCGATTGGGGTGTGCGGAGCAGAACTGGGCCAGCCTCCTCACTGCCAGGTCTTCCAGAGGCCCCCCAGCCACCCCCCGAGACTGTGATTACAGCCATTTGACAGATGAGGAGTCAGCCCTGGCAGAGACTGCTGAGCCTGGACTAGAACCGAGCCTCTCAGACTTGAGTCTGTGCCCTTAGCCGCCGAGAGATCCTACTTGTGAATGCATTAGTTCATTCAGTAGTATTCCTGCCTATCCGTGGCTGTGGAGGCACAGGGGAAACTGAGTGAGGACCTGGGTGGGCTGTACCCCACAGGCAGCTCTTAGCCTGGGGGGACGGGAGGACCTAGGGGAGTTCCTGGTCCATGCCAGGCTTGGAGGATGAGTGGGAGTCAGAAGGCCGTAGGAGGGAGGGCGTTCCAGGCCAACCTGAGAGGCAGTCAGAGCAGAGGAGTTTGGGGCCTGCAAGAGGTATTGTTTTATTCTGACGCCACAGGGGCCCAAGGCAGAATTTAGAGCAGGGTGTGAATGGGGATCCTGCTGCCCACGTGGAGGTCAGGTCCTCCAGCAGAGGAGCCAGCTTTGGCCCTGCCAGCTGCCTTGGTGTGGGAAGGCCCCTGCTCAAGGAGGACAATGGGCAGGGCTCTGCTGCCACCAGGCTGTATGACCTCAGGCAGATTCCTGGACTTTCTGGCCCTCAGTGTCTCCATCTGCAAAATGGATACAGTCCTGAACCTTAAAGTTCTGGGTGCATAGAAGAACTAGTGGGGGGCAGAGAAGGTATAGCCTTTGGCTTGCTGGACCCAAAGGAGGACACTGAAGTCATGATAACCCTTTCTGGTGGCTTGCAGGTGTGAACCCACATCCCTGCCCCCAGGGCCACCTACAGGACGCCGACACCTACCCTTCAGCAGACGCCGGAGAGAAATGAGTAGCAACAAAGTAAGTCTCCCTTCATTTCTTAACCCCATTGAGCCTCTCACTTCCCTCCATGGAACGGGTTCCTTTGGACCTGTCCCAGACCCCAGCTACCGTGAGTCTCTTCTTCCCCTCAAGAAGCCATCCATGCCTGGGAGACCCAGGTTTAAGCCCTGCTTTGGCCACTGATCTTCTAAGTGGCTTAGGGCAAGCTCCTGCCTGTTCCTGGACCCAGGGTCAGTTTTGCCCTCCCAGGCCTGACAGTCTGTCTGTGATGGTCAGGACTAGCCGAGGTGACTGTGGAGTGCTGTGCAGGAAAGAGGGGTGGGCGGGTGGAGGTGAGCTGGAAATGGGGCGAGGGTGCACTGATCAAAGGTGATACAGCTCGAGCATGACCCTGAGAATGTCAGGGTTCCCCATTGTTCTTTCATTCATTCATGCTTTCCTAAGCACTTACTACATGACTGGCCCTGCATGCCCCTTCCTTAGGATCCACTGCAGCCCTGGTGGAGCCTGAGGTTTGGAAATGGGATGGGGTGGTTGTATTAATTTGAGTCTAATCAGGAGAAAGAAACTACACAGTGATTAAACAGGGTTTAATGCAAAAAATTATTGGCTATAATAGGACACTGGAGTAACAAAGGATTAGAATTCTGAGGAATACAGCAATAGCAGATATTAATATAAGGAGCACCCCTGCCCCCATAAAGACTGAGATCCGGGCCTTGCTGAAGAAGGCCCAGCTGTGGCCTACTGGATGGCTCCAGTACAGAACTGGCCTGGGGAGGGGAAGCCGCCAGCCTCCAGGTGCTGCAGGTGGTGGAGTGCACTGTAGGAGCTGGACTTTGGAGAAGCTGTGATCACAGCACGAGCCAGAGGCAATGTACCTGACTTGCTGGCACTGCTGGCCTCTGGGCAGTGGATAAGATGCCCTTACTGGAGAGGCCGTGTGCACTGAAGGACCCTCCCTAGCAAGCCTACCAGAACCAAGAAGCAAATGCTTTTCCTCCTGCAGTGTCTGTCCAGCAACCTCTACTCACAAATCTTAATATGCAGCTAGCTGACAAGGGAAAACATTTAAAGGGCTCAGATCCATTTCCACAGAGCAGACAAAAAGGATAAACTTGGAGCTAGAGGCAGTACATTGGAGAGTTACTGTTGGGGGAAGACCTAGACCCTCTCACTCAGATGTCCCACCTGTCTCTAGACATCCTCTTAGCAGCAGCTGTAGGGAATCCTGACGTATTCAATCCAGTCCAGCAAACCCTCCCTGAGAACCTTCCATCTTCCAGGCCCTGCCCTAGGATCTGGGATACGTGGGGAGCAAGGCTGACCCAGTCCCAGAGCTCACGGTCTAATTGGAGGGATGGGAGTTTGAATGCAGTGTGATCAGTGTTGTGATGGGGAGACTGAGGCAGCTGAAGGAGGCCTTCCTGGAGGTAGTGCCAGAACTGGTCTGCAACAAAAAGCAGGAGTTAACCAGGCACGGTAGGTGGCAAGGAGGTGGGCGCTGAGCCTGCTCGGCAGCTGGGCCCTCACTGGCCTCTCCTCTCTCCAGGAGCAGCGGTCAGCAGTGTTCGTGATCCTCTTTGCCCTCATCACCATCCTCATCCTCTACAGCTCCAACAGTGCCAATGAGGTCTTCCATTATGGCTCCCTGCGGGGCCGTAGCCGCCGACCTGTCAACCTCAAGAAGTGGAGCATCACCGACGGCTATGTCCCCATTCTCGGCAACAAGGTAGCTCAGCCACTTTGGGGAGCTCCCTGGGAGCTCCTTTCCACTGCCCAGCATCACCACTCCCTCCACCTCTTCTTTCCTAAAGGAAAGGTGGATCCTGGGAGTCAAGGCCCTCCCTCTGGTGATTTCAGCTCTCTGCTTGCTGTGTGACCTTGGATAAAGGCACTGCCCCTGTCTGGGCCTCACTTCTCTCCAAGTCGCCACCCTTATTGCTAATATCCTACCATCTCCTGAATCAGAATCCTTTGGAAAATGTGTTTCTGATTTCACTGCTCTCTGTCTCTGCTGGGGAGCCCACACAGGCTTGGGAGCAGAACACTGGGACATTTGACAACACAAAAGCATTAATAATACCAGCTGCCCTTTATCAAGTGCCTGTATGTGCCAGGCACTTTGATCACCAGTAATCTTCCTCAGACAAACCCTGCGAGGGCAGCATTATTATCTCCCTTGGTGAGATGGAGTAGCCAAGGCTCAGAGAGGTGAAGTCATTTGTCTAAGGCTACAGAGTGAGGGAAGGAAGAAGATGGTATTTTCCTACCCCCTGCTAAGTTGCAGCTGCAGAGAGAGGCCAAAGTCATTCCTGGAGACTTCTGTTGGCCTTGGGTAGCAATGAAATTCAGGTTGTATTTCTGGGGTTCACCCTGTAGTACCTCTTTCTCCTTCCTCACTGACTCTCCTATATTTTCTTCAGGGCCTTTGCATGCAGAGTGTAGAGCCCAGGCTCTGGACACACCCTCACTAGGAAAGGGCACATTAGCAGGTGTTTGGAGAGAGGTTAACACCTAAGTGAGTCTTTCTCTACCCTAAGAACCCTTGAAAGAGGAATAAAAATGGGACAGCTTGAGTGTGGGTGATGTGGAAAGGAGAGACAGAGCCTGGCTTGCAGTGCTTCCAGCATCACAGGGGAAGCCAAAAAAAACTAGCACTCAGAAAAGTGGAAGCGCCAGTCGAGGTACGTGGGATGTGTTGCTGGATCTTGGAGTAAGGGCTCAGGGAAGGCTGCCTTGGGGGAGGTGGCATTTGAGCTTAGCCTTAAAGGGTGAATGGGAATTCCATGGGCAAAAAATAGGCCCCAGAGAGCATGTGATTCCAACCCATTCATTTCAGCCATGGAGAAACAGCCCCAGAGTGGCTTTCATACCTTCCTTAATAACAAGGTGGTTCTTGTTTCTGGGTGCGGTGGAAATGTCATGGGTGCTTTTTGGAAGATGTCCACTTTGGAGAGCTGGGGATCTGTGGTAACATAGACTTGGGTTCAAATCCTGGCACTGCACTTCTCCACTTTGTGACCTTCTGTTCTCCCACTTGTTGACTCTGACCCAATTGAATGGCCTTCTTTTGGTTTTCAACGTACCACCTTTATTTCCACATTGGAGCCTTTGTGCTGGCTGTTTCTCCTGCCTTGAATATGTTTCCCTAGGTGGTCCTTCTTCATTCTTCACATCTCAGCTCAGAGAGGCGTTTCTGTTGCAGCTTGACAGATTCTTCTTGCCTGCTGCCCAGAAAAAACCAATACACTGAGACTGCAGGTGTTGCAGCAGAGAAAGAGTTTAACAATCGCAGGGCCAGCCAAGTGAGGAGACAAGGGATTATTTCTCAAATGTGCCTCCCCCAGAATTTGGAAGCTAGGGTTTTTTTAAGGATAGTTTGGCAGGCAGGGGAACTAGAGAATGGTTGGGGATGAAATCATAGGGGTGTTGAAACTGTCTTCACCCACCGAGTCAGTTCCTGGGTGGGGGGCCATGGGTCACTGGTCTGGTTGGCATCCATTGGTCTACCAGATTGAAAGGTCTGAAAAATATCTCAAGCCGGGCTCAGTGGCTCATGCCTGTAATCCCAGCACTTTGGGAGGCTGAGGCAGGCAGATCACCTGAGGTCAGGAGTTCAAGACCAGCCTGACCAACATGGAGAAACCCGTCTCTACTAAAAATACAACATTAGCTGGGTGTGGTGGTACATGCCTGTAATCCCAGCTACTCGGGAGGCTAAAACAGGAGATTTGCTTGAACCCAGGAGGCAGAGGTTGCAGTGAGCCGAGATTGTGCCATTGCACTCCAGCCTGGGCAACAAGAGTGAAACTCCGTCTCAAAAAAAAAAAAAAAAATCTCAAACACTCAGGTTTTACAATAACAATGTTATCTATGTTAAAAACAACAATGATGTTATCTATATTTTAAAAAGCAAATTAAGAAACAATGACTGGTTATAATTCAACTATAACTACATCTTAGCAGAAAAGCAAGCTAAGAGATAATGACTGGTTATAGTTTATGCCTACAGCTTGACAGAAAGATATGCGGGGGGTGAGATAATCAATTATTACTGACCACCTTCTATCGAACTGACTATATGCAGGCAATCATGCATATAGGACAAAGGAAAAGGAAAATAAGTAAAACAAATGATTTTTACTATACCTGTATCCTAGCAGAGTCCAGGCCTCTATCTCAGTTGTTACCTTGTGGCCTTTTATTAACTTTACAAAGGCATTTTTAGTTCCCAAACAAGGTGGAGTTCAGTTTTGAGAAGGGGCTGTTATCATCTTTGCTTTAGAGTTAAACTATAAAATAAATTCCTCTCACAGTTTAGTCTATGGATAGGAATGAGCAAGGGTGGTTAGATTGTGAGGTCAGAAACAGGATGGAGTCAGTTATGTTAGATTCCTCTCCCAAATTAGATTCTTTTTTTTTTTGAGACCGAATTCCACTCTTGTTGCCCAGGCTGGAGTGCAGTGGCGTGATCTTGACTCACCGCAACGTCTGCCTCCCAGGTTCAAGCGATTCTCCTGCCTCAGCCTCCCTAGTAGCTGAGATTACAGGCATGTGCCACCACGCCCTGCTAATTTTGTATTTTTAGTAGAGATGGGGTTTCTCCATGTTGGTCAGGCTTGTCTTGAACTCCTGAGCTCAGGTGATCTGCCCACCTCGACCTCCCAAAGTGCTGGGATTACAGGCATGAGCCACCTCACCTGGCCTTCCAGGCCACCTTTCTAAAGTAGCCCCGGCTGCAGTCGCTCTTTGGTCACTTGCCCCTGTTTCCCCTCCCTTCCCTTCCCCTCCCTCCCCTTCCCCTCTCCTTTCCCCCTCCCCCTCCCCTTTCCCTCTCCCCCTCCCACTCCCCCGTCCCTCCCCTCTTCCCCTCTCCCCCTCCCCTTCTCCCTGTCCTCTCCTCTCCTTTCCTTTCCTTTTCCCCTCTTTCATTTCCTTTCTTTTTTTTTCTTTCTTCTTTCCTTTCCTTGTTTCTTTTCTTTCTTCTTTCCTTTCTTTCTTTCAACAAGAGTCTTGCTCTGTCACCCAGGCTTAAATGCAGTGGTGCAATCTAGGCTCACTGCAACCTCTACCTCCAGGTTCAAGCAATTCTGGTGCCTGAGCCTCCTGAGTAGCTGTGATTACAGGCATGCGCCACTACGCCTGGCTAATTTTTGTATTTTTTGGTAGAGATGAGGTTTCACCATATTGGCCAGGCTGGTCTCAAACTCCTGACCTCAAGTAATCTGCCTGCCTCGGCCTCCCAAAGTGCTGGGATTACAGGCGTGAGCCACCGTGCCTAGCCATTTGCCACTGTTTTCTTTTTTTTTCCTGGCATGTGTTGTGTGCATTCTTATCTGTCTCTCTACCTGTTTCTTGAAGGCAGAAGCCTGATCTGTTTTGCTCCTTGCTCTGCCCCAGGACTTGGCCATTAACCAGCTTGCTATCAATGTGTGTTGAATGTTGAATGAATGGGCCTCCGTTTCCCTTTCTTTAAAATGGGCATAACAATTCCTGGGTCCTGGAGGCCTGGATGTATGGAGCACAGGGCCCAGCACAGAGTGGCCATGATAATGTTGACTTTCCTTGTCCCCCAGACGCTGCCCTCTCGGTGCCACCAGTGTGTGATTGTCAGCAGCTCCAGCCACCTGCTGGGCACCAAGCTGGGCCCTGAGATCGAGCGGGCTGAGTGTACAATCCGCATGAATGATGCGCCCACCACTGGCTACTCAGCTGATGTGGGCAACAAGACCACCTACCGCGTCGTGGCCCATTCCAGTGTGTTCCGCGTGCTGAGGAGGCCCCAGGAGTTTGTCAACCGGACCCCTGAAACCGTATTCATCTTCTGGGGGCCCCCGAGCAAAATGCAGAAGCCCCAGGGCAGCCTCGTGCGTGTGATCCAGCGGGCGGGCCTGGTGTTCCCTAACATGGAAGCATATGCCGTCTCTCCCGGCCGCATGCAGCAATTTGACGACCTCTTCCGGGGTGAGACGGGCAAGGACAGGTACCAGCCTCCCGCCTGCCCCCTCTGTCCAGCCCTGTGCTCCTTCTCAGCATGGCCCATCCAGAGGGCCTGTTGCTCCCAGCATGCACTGCTCTGAGGGGTAGTCAAGTCCTGCTGTCCTCTGGTTGGGTCTCCTAGGAGAGTTCTCTTCATGTCCAGCTGTTCACATGGGGCCTTTCCAACATGCTTCTGCATGGCCTGGTTTGTCCAAGAGGGCTTCCTCGTGGCATACCTTGCTCTGAGGGCACAAGGGCTCCCACCCAGCATGCTCTGCTCTGAGGTTGCACAGTCACTCCTAGCATCTTTCTAAGAGAAGCTCCCCATAGTATACCCAATGTAAAGTCTTGACTGTTCCCGGCATGTCTTGCCTTAAGCACACAGTTGCTCCTGGCATGCTGTGTTCCAGGTATGTATCACTCCCAGCATGCCCTGCTGTGACTAATCTCCCTAGGAAAGCTAGGCCAGTGCTGCCCAATAGAAATCTATGTGAGTCACATATGTAATTTATTTTCATAGTAATCACAGTGAAAAATTAGTGAATAGCTGTGTACAGTGGCTTGTACCTGTAGTCCTAGCTAATCAGGAGGCTGAGGCAGGAGGATCACTTGAGCCCAGGAGGTCGAGGCTGCAGTGAGCCATGATGGTGCCACTGTACTCCAGCCTGGGTGACAGAATGAGACTACATCTTACATCTCTTTAAGAAAAAGTAGTACAAGCAACTTTCATATATTCTTTTAACCCAATATGTTCAACATATAGCTCCTGTACATATTTTGTTAGATGTATACCTAGATATTAAAACAATTTTGGAGCCATTATAAATGGTATTAATATTTTTTATTCCCAAATATTAATTGTTAATATATAGAAATGGCATATAGAAATTGATTTTTGTGCAGCCGGGCGCGGTGGCTCATGCCTATAATTCCAACACTTTGGGAGGCCAAGGCGGGCGGATCACGAGGTCAGGAGATCGAGACCATCCTGGCTAACACGGTGAAACCCTGTCTCTACTAAAAATACAAAAAATTAGCCAGGCGAGGTGGCGGGCGCCTGTAGTCCCAACTACTCAGGAGGCTGAGGCAGGAGAATGGCATGAGCCGAGATCGCACCACTGTACTCCAGCCTGGGCGACAGAGCGAGACTCCATCTCAGAAAAAAAAAAAAAAAAAGAAATTGATTTTTGTGGCTGGGCGTGGTGGCGCGTGCCTGTAATCCCAGCTACTCGGAAGGCTGAGGCAAGAGAATTGCTTGAATCCGGGAGTGGAGGTTTCAGTGAGCTGAGATCGCGCCATTGCACTCCAGCCTGGGCAACAAGGCGAGACTCTGTCTCAAAAAAGAAAAAAAAAGAGAAATTGATTGGCTCACTGCACCTCCACCTCCCGGGTTCAAGCGATTCCGTAGGTTTTTTGTAGCTACTTTGATCGGGGTAGCTGTACGTTTTTTGTAGCTACCCTTTATCAGGCTGACGAAATTCCCTTCTCTTACTAGTTTCCTGAGAATTTTTATTATTACAAGATACTGAATTTTATGAAATGTTTTTCTGCAGCAATTTATATGATCATGTATTTTTTTAAGACTATTAATATGGTGGATTATATTGACTGTTTTGTTTTTATTTTTGTTTTTGTTTTATTTGAGACAGGGTATCCCTCTGAGGCCCAGGCTGGAATGCAGTGGCATGATCATGGCTCACTGCAGCCTCCACCTATCAGACTCAAGTGATCCTCCCACATCAGCCTCCCTAGTAGCTGGGAGTACAGGCATGCAACACTATGCCTGTAATTTTTGTATTTTTAGTAGAGACGGAGTTTTGCTGTGTTGCTCAGGCTAAGATTTTTGAATATTGAATCAGCTCTGCACTTCTGAAATAAACATGACTTCTTTGGGATGTATGTATTTATTTTTTATTTTATTTATTTTTTGAGACAAAGTCTTATTCTGTGGCCCAGGCTAGAGTGCAGTGGCGTGATCTCGGCTCACTGTAACCTCCGCCTCCTGGGTTCAAGCGATTCTCCTGCCTCAGCCTCCCAAGTAGCTGGGACTGCAGGTACGCGCCCACCACGCCTGGCTAATTTTTGTATTTTTTTAGTAGAGACGGGATTTCACTATGTTGGCCAGGCTGGTCTCGTACTCCTGACCTCAGGTGATTCACCTGCCTCAGCTTCCCAAAGTGTTGGGATTACAGGCGTGAGCCACTACACCTGGCCAAGGGATGTATTTATATATACAAAATATTAGCAAATCATATCCATCAGAGATTTTTGTGTTCGTGTTCATGAGAGGTATTGGTCTGTAGGTTTTTTTGGTGCTGTTTTTGCTTGATTTTGGTATCAGGGTCATGCTGGCCTCAGAAAATGAATTGGGAAATGTTCCTTCTTCTATTTTCTGGAAGACACTGTGTAGAATTGTGCTTCTCTTTAAGTGTTTGGTAGAATTTGCCAGCGACAGTATCTTGGCCTGGAGAGTTCTTTTTCAGAAGATTTTAAACTGTGAATTCAATTTCTTTATTATAGGATATTCAGGTTATCTATTTCATCTTCAGTAAATTATGGTCATTTATGGGTTTTAGGGAATTGGCTCATTCTATCTAAGTTGTCAAATGTCTGTATGTGGTTGTGGAATTTTCTTATTATCCTTTTAATGTCTATAGGGTCTACGGTGGTGATTTTCTCTCTTTTATTTCTGATATTGGTGATTTATGTCCTCTTTTTCTTTGTCAGTTTTGCCAGAGGATTTTGTTTTTGTTTTTGAGATAAAGTCTCACTCTCACCCAGGCTGGAGTGCAGTGGTATGATCACAGATCACTGCAGCCTCAACCTTCTAGGCTCAAACAATCCTCCCACCTCAGCCTCCCAGGTAGCTGAGACCACAGGCACATGCCACTACACCTGGCTAATTTTACATATATAAATTTTTTTTTTTTTTTTTTTGAGACGGAGTCTCACTCTTTTGCCCAGGCTTGAGTGCAATGGCACAATCTCGGTTCACTGCAACCTTTGCCTTCCAGGTTCAAGCAATTCTCCTGCCTCAGCCTCCTGTGTAGCTGGGATTACAGGCATGTGCCACCATACCCTGCTAATTTTGTATTTTTGGTAGAGACAGGATTTCACCATGTTGGTCAGGCTGGTCTTGAACTCCTGACCTTGTAATCCACCCTCCTCGGCCTCCCAAAGTGCTGGAATTACAGGCGTGAGCCACTGCGCCCAGCCTTTTTTTTTTTTTTTAGATGGAGTCTCACTCTGTTGCCCAGACTAGAGTGTAGTGGTGCAGTCTCGGCTCACTGCAACCTCCACCTCCTGGATTCAAGCAATTCTCCTGCCTCAGTCTCCCGTGTAGCTGTAACTACAAGCATGTGCCACCATGCCTGGCTAATTTTTGTATTTTTAGTAGAGACAGGGTTTCGCCATGTTGGCCAGGCTGATCTCGAATTACTGACCTCAGGCGATCCGCCCACCTCAGCCTCCCAAAGTGCTAGGAGTACAGGCATGAGCCACAGCACCTGGCTGAGTTTTAATTTTCTGTAGAGATGAGGTCTCACTATGTTCTCCAGGCTGGTCTTAAAGTCCTGGGATCACAAGTATGAGCCATCACGCCTGGCCTCCCTTCTTTTTTCCATACTACCTGAGAAATGCAGTGTGTATTTATACAGACAGCCCATCTCAATCACACATGGCTAGTGGCCACTGTAGTGTGAGCACAGCTCTTGGTTCTGGGCTACTCCTTCAGGCCTAGCTCTGAACTGCAGTCACTCCAGCATGAACGTATCTGATTAGTCTCCCCTTAGGAGTCTGCTTCTAGCATGGGCACAGCTGTTTTCAGCATGCTGTATCATCATAGTCACTCAGCCTGCCCAACTGTGACCCAGCTCCCCAGGAGAGTTCATTTTCAGCATGCCCTGTTCCTGTTCTTCCCCTCAAAGGAGCTCCCTCCACACCCCTCACCTCTGCCTGGACAGCCCTCTGCCACATGCCATGCTCGCACACGAGGCTGGACTTGGGGTAACCAAAGTGGGGGTGGGGCCCCAATGGGTGGATGGGAGGAGTTCCAGGGAACTCCACGTGGGTGACCCTGGATCACCTGCTCCCATCTCTGCCTGCATGCACCCTCATCGTGACCCCTATTCATCCCCAGGGAGAAGTCTCATTCGTGGTTGAGCACAGGCTGGTTTACCATGGTGATTGCAGTGGAGTTGTGTGACCACGTGCATGTATATGGCATGGTCCCCCCGAACTACTGCAGGTGAGCCCTCCTTGCCAGTGCCCTCCCAGGACAACACTCAGGCACTGGCCGCAGGCTGGAGCTGGGAGGGCTGGAAACCTTGGCTGAAGGTGCCTTTGAGGGCCTCTGCTTCATTGTTTTCAAACTGTTCTGCAGAGATCTAGACTTCTTCTGCTTCCTCAGGGGCCTCCACTCCAAGTTCAGCCAGAGTTTACTTATTAATAATAACTATTAGTAGTAGCATTATATACGAAAAGCCCACTAGGGGACAGCTATACTTTACTGAGTACTGACCAGGTGCCAAGCATGGCTACATGTAGTCTCTCACTTACTCCTCACAGCAACCTTATGGGATAAGAACTGTTATTCTTCCCATTTATTAAATGAGAAAAACTGAGGAGTGTGTTTTATGAGTAGCCAGAGGTCCTCCAAACAGCAGGAAGAGGGACCAGGCTCCAGTGCCCACAGCCCTCACCACTGCTCTACACTGCCGCCCTCTTGGGGAAAGGAAAAAGTGCCACTGCATTTAAAAAAAAAAAAAAAAAAAGTTTGGTGGTTACAAACCTAGTCCACCCTGCACCCATTTTACGGATGGGGAAACCGAGGCCCCAGGAGGTGTGGGGATTTCTCTTATTGAGGTCCTATGGCAGGCAAGGGGCTGAAAGGGCAAGGACCCTGCCAGCGCCCACCCTGCCCTAATGACACCCATCTGTTCTGTCCCAGCCAGCGGCCCCGCCTCCAGCGCATGCCCTACCACTACTACGAGCCCAAGGGGCCGGACGAATGTGTCACCTACATCCAGAATGAGCACAGCCGCAAGGGCAACCACCACCGCTTTATCACCGAGAAAAGGGTCTTCTCGTCGTGGGCCCAGCTGTATGGCATCACCTTCTCCCACCCCTCCTGGACCTAAGCCACCCAGCCTGTGGGACCTCAGGAGGGTCAGAGGAGAAGCAGCCTCCGCCCAGCCGCTGGGATAGGGACCACCTTCTGGTCAATCAAAGCTCGCCGGAGTGTCTCTCAGCCAATCAGGGCCTTGAGGAGGATGTATCCTCCAGCCAATCAGGACCTGGGGAATCTGTTGGCCAATCAGGGATTTGGAAGTCTATGTGATTAATCAGGGGTGTCTTTCTTGTGCAGTCAGGGTCTGCGCACAGTCAATCAGGGTAGAGGGGTATTTCTGAGTCAATCTGAGGCTAAGGACATATCCTTCCCCATGAGGCCTTGGTTCAGAATCCCGGGAATGGACCCCCCAGTCACTCCCCACTCTGCTGGGATAATGAGGTCCGGTCCCAAGGAGCTGGGAACTTGGTGGTGTCCCCTCAATTTCTAGCACCAGAAAGAGAGATTGTGTGGGGGTAGAAGCTGTCTGGAGGCCTGGCCAGAGAATTTTTGGGGTTGTGGAGGTTGTGGGGGCAGTGGGGAGGTCCCAGAGGTGGGAGGCTGGCATCCAGGTCTTGGCTCTGCCCTGAGCGACCTTGGACAAACCCTTCCCCCTCTGTGGGCACCCTTCTGCCCACGCCAGTTTCCAGTGCGGAGTCTGAGACCCTTGCCACCTCCCCTACAAGTGCCCTCGGGTCTGCCCTCCCCGACTGGACCCCCCCAGCCACTATCCCTTGCTGGGAGGCTCAGCTCTTTGGGGGGGTCTGGGGTGACCTCCCCACCTCCTGGAAAACTTTAGGGTATTTTTGCGCAAACTCCTCTAGGGTTAGGGGACTCTGAAGGGAATGGGACAAACCTTAAGCTGTTTTCTTAGCCCCTCAGCCAGCTGCCATTAGCTTGGCTCTTTAAGGGCCGGGACTGCTTTTCTGCCCTCTAGCAGGGAGGTTTTCCAACTGTTGGAGGTGCCTTTGGGGCTGCTCCTTTGTCTGGAGCCACTGGGGGTTTCTGAGGGTCTCCCCTGACCCCCTGTCATCCTGGGATGACTGCCGGGAGCTGTGTCGCCTGGGTTCTGTCCCCTGGCTCTGTTATCAGGCACTTTATTAAAGCTGGGCCTCAGTGGGTTGTGTTTGTCTCTTGTTCTTCTGGAGCCTGGAAGGGAAGGGCTTCAGGAGGAGGCTGTGAGGCCGGGGGGACCAGATGGAGGAGGCCAGCGGCTAGCCATTGCACACTGGGGTGATGGGTGGGGGCGGCGACTGCCTCAGACTTGGTTTTGTAATGATTTGTACAGGAATAAACACACGTACGCTCCGGCTTCGTGTCCTGTGTCTCCTGGGTCGAGCACAGCCTTCTGGCCCAGCGCTGCATGCGGCCTCAGGACTGCGTCTTCCGGTTAGGGGATTCCAGTAAAGCGATCCTCAGCTTTTTCAGAGCCAGTGGCCAGTGAGGTGTGTATTTTGCATCTTGAGTGGAGGCCTGGGGACTCTGGGGATGGTGGGGGTGTGTGGAGCCAGGCCCATCTGGCTTTTCCTGTCCCCACCTCACCCTGCCTGTGTGACCTTGGGCAAGTCATTTCGCGTCTGAGAGCCCCAATTCCTTCAAGGGCAAAAGGAGACCAGACACTGCCCTCAAGGAGCTCAGGTTCCAGGGAGGGAGGAGCCCCATGGTACACTAGGAAGAATTCGCACAGAAGCTGGGAGAAGAGTTTGAGCAGTGAGTGCAGAAGGGGTGGGGGAAAGACAGCCCAGGCCACAGAGCCAGAGGTCTCTCAGCTCCTTAAGGGTCTGGGGACCTGATGACTGGGAGCTGCGATTTCCTGCCAAACCCAGCAGGAGGGAGCCTGGCGGGCTGTAACACTGGCAGGGGTGTGGTGAGTGGTGGTCTCCGAGTTGCCACCAGCCTCTCTGCAAAAGGGCTGTGTACTCCAGGTTGGCAGGAGGCAGGGGTCTGTGACTCCAGAGATTACAAACTGTTTGGGCAGATAAGATGCCCTCAGGGGCGAGGTCTAACAAAGAGTGACTGTGTAAGACACGGGCAGGCAGCCTGCTGGGATCTCCCAGGGCCCCTGAGCTGCTGGGGACAGGAAAGAGAACCCTTCTGGGCACTGGGCCAGCCAGGATGGTGGTGATTGAGGCTGGGAGGCATGAATGGCACCTTGCATCTGCCTCTCAATTCACGTAGCCAATAAGCAGCCGCATGCTGTGCACTGTATTAGGCACAGTTGATGAGGGCAGGAGTGTCTGGTGGGAGGAGTGGCCCACAGAGAAGCCTCATGGTGGGATCCCCAGCTTCACCCAGTAGGCAGTGAGGCTACAGCAGGAGGGAGCAGTGAGAGATGAGACTGCCTGGGGCCAGATGGCACAAGGCAAGGCCGTAAATGTCAGTCTGAGGGGGGCAAGAGCCTTGATCTTTCTTGTCTTGCTTAGAGAAGTCAAATGGGACCACAGCAGAATGGGCAGGAGGCTGACAGGTAGCATGGCCCAGGGCCCAGGGGCCGACCAGACACAGTAACAGTGGCAGTGGGGCCGGGGGTGCTAGAGAGACTGGGACTCCCTGTAAAGTCTACATGGGGAACAGAAAGCCGTGCATGGGCATGGGGATATGGGAATATGGCACCCATCCAACCCCATGCAAAGGCTTCTGGGAACCTGGGTCCAAGAAGAGGTTTTTTTTTGAGACAGAGACTCGCTCTGTCACCCAGGCTGCAGTGCAGTGGCACAATCTAGACTCACTGCAACCTCCACCTCCCAGGTTCAAGTGATTCTCCTGCCTCAGCCTCCTAAGTAGCTGGGATTACAGGCACATGCCACCACGTCCAGCTAATTTTTGTATTTTTAGTAGAGACAGGGTTTCACCATGTTGGTCAGGCTGGTCTTGAACTCCTGACCTCATGATCCACCCACCTCGGCCTCACAAAGTGCTGGGATTTCAGGTGTGAGCCACCACATCCGTCCTTCCTCTTTTTTTTTTTTTTTTTTTTTGAGATGGAGTCTCACTCTGTCACCCAGGCTGGAGTGCAGTGGTGCAATCTCGGCTTGTTGCAACCCCTGCCTCCTGGGTTCAAGTGATTCTCGTGCCTCAGCCTCCCAAGTAGCTGGGACTACAGGCGCTTGCCACCATGCCTGGCTAATTTTTGTATTTTTAGTAGAGACGGGGTTTCAGCATGTTGCCCAGGTTGGTCTTGAACTCCTGGCCTCAAATTATCCGCCTGCCTCGGCCTCCCAAAGTGCTGGGATTACAGGCGCGAGCCACCGCACCCAGCCCTGGCAGAGGTTTCGACGTAGAATTCCTCCCAGAATGCTGTGGCTTTTCTCTCTGTCCCTGGGGGAGGGAGAGGTCAGCAGGAGGGGTGTCAAGAGGGGGTTGGTTCCCCAGGGGGAAGTTCAGTGGAGCATCAGGAGGTGGGACTCTGGTGGGCCTACTCCCCAACTCCTCAATCTCTCACCCCCTCAGTGGGACCCAGTGGAGACTGGCCCACTCATTGCTAAAGTGAGCTTTCTGAAGCCTCCCTCATCACAGCCCTCTTTGCCCCGAAACCTTCACTGGCTCCCTGTTCACTGGCCAGCTCCAAACTTACAGCCTTGTCTGGTGTTTGAGGCCTTCCTGCACCTCCATCTGCACCTGCACCCCTCTCCTGGGTACCTCAGTGAGGCTAGTGCTTCCTCACCTCTGTGCAGAGGGCCCTACCCCCACCCCTCCTTGGGAGGGGGCGCCTCCCACCAGCTGCAAACCTATGAATGGCAGCCGCTCCTCTCTGGGCTTCCTGTCCAGCTGTTTCCTGCATCCATTTGTTTCTTGCGGATGCCCCACCAGCCAGGCCCCCTGGGGCAATCCCCGATCCCACTACGTCCTGACTGGTGGGTCCACATGTGAACTTCAGAGTGAGCAGGCCCTGGTACATCCCCTGCAACCCCCATGCCAGCTTGTTTTCAAGTCCTGGAATTTTTTTCCTTTCCCTTCTCTTCCCTTCCCTCCCCTTCCCTTCCCTTCCCTCCCCTCCCCTCCCCTCCCCTCCCCTCCCCTCCCCTCTCTTCTCTTCTTCCCTTCCCTTCTTCCTTTCCTTCCCTTCCCTTCTTCCCTTTCTTCCCTTCCCCTCTTCCCTTTCTTCCCTTCCCCTCTTCCCTTCCCTTCTTCCCTTCCCCTCTTCCCTTCCCCTCTTCCCTTCTTCCCTTCCCCTCTTCCTTCCCTTCTTCCCTTCTTCCCTTTTTCCCTTCTTCCCTTCTTCCCTTTTTCCCTTCTTCCCTTCCCCTCTTCCCTTCCCCTCTTCCCTTCCCTCTTCCCCTCCCCTCTTCCCTTCCTTTCCCTTCTTTCCTTTCCTTTTTAGACAGAGTCTTGCTCTGTTGCCCAGACTGGAGTGCAGTGGTGCGATCTTAGCTCACTGTAACCTCTGCCCCCCAGGTTCAAGCAACTAGGATTACAAGCGTGCACTACTACACCCAGCTAATTTTTATATTTTTAGTAGAAGTAGGGTTTCACTTTGATGGCCAGCGTGATCTCACACTCCTGGCCTCAAGTGTTCTGCCCTCGCAAAGTGCTGGGATTACAAACATGAGCCACCACGCCTGGCTGGAATTTTTTCTTTAACCAAAATATTTTCATTTTAATTTTGTTCCTAAATGTCACAAGCTACAAAATATTTTAAAATATTTTTTAAAAATTGGTTTCATTTTTATGTTTCTGTTTTTAGATTTTTTGATCATAAAACAATACAAATGATAGAAGATAGAAAGGGAGGGTATTGCCGAGTCCTATTAGGGTATAATCTTCCAGATCTTTCCTCCATGCAATTTTTTCTTTTTCTGAGACAACATCATGCTCTGTGTCTCAGGCTGGAGTACACTGGTGTGATCACAGTTTACTGTAGCCTTGGCCTCCTGGACTTGAGCAATCCTCCCGCCTCAGCCTTCCGAGTAGCTGGGACTATAGGCAGGCACCATCACACTTGGATAATTAAAACATTTTTTTTTTTTTTTACAGACAAGGTCTTGCTATGTTGCCCAGGCTGGTCTCAAACTCCTGGGCTCAAGCGATCCTCCTGCCTCAGTCTCCCAAAGTGCTGGGATTACAGATGTGAGCCACGGCGCCCAGGCTCCAAGCAATTCTTTTTTCTTTCCCTCTTCCAGTTTTTCTGTCCCTCTATTTTTTTCTTTTCTTAGGTTATACCTGGGAAATAAAATTCTGAAACGTTAATATTCCAGAATTGGTAGAAAATCCATAGTTCACATGCAAATAAAATAAAACAGATACTTAAAACTGATTTTTTAATTTAAAAAAATTACTTATTTTATTTTAAAACTTGCAGCAAAAAACATATAACAGAAAATTAATCATCTTAACAGTTTTCACACTGTTGGATAGCAGGGCTCCAAAACTTCGTCATTTTGCAGATCTGAGACTCTGTACCCATTAAACAGCAATCTTCCCTTCCTCATCCTCCCTGGCTCCTGGCAAACACCATTCTACTCTTTTTTCTATGAGTTTGACTCCTTTAGATACTTCAATGTAAAGCATATATATATATGCTCGTTGTATGGAAAAACAAAAATGCTTGGGTGGCTGGGCACTGTGGCACACACCTGTAATCTCAGCACTTTGGGAGGCCAAGGCAGGAGGATTGCTGGAGCCCAGGAATTTGAGGCTGCAGTGAGCTATAATTTTGACATAGCACTGCAGCCTGGGCAACAAAGTGAGACCCTGTCTCTTAAAAAAAAAAAAAAAAAAAAAAAAAGAAAGCCTGGGGGACTGGGCGCAGTGGCTCACGCTTGTAATCCCAGCACTTTGGGAGGCCGAGGCCAAGGCAGGTGGATCACTTGAGGTCAGGAGGTCGAGACCAACCTGGCAAATATGGTGAAACCCTGCCTCTACTAAAAATACAAAAATTAGCCAGGCATGGTGGCACGTGCCTGTAGTCCCAGCTACTGGGGGACTTGAGGCAGGAGAATCTCTTGAGCCTGGGAGGCAGAGGTCGCAGTGAGCCAAGATTATGCCACTGCACTCCAGCCTAGGCAACAGAGTGAGTCTCCGTCTCATAAATAAATAAATAAATAAACAAATAAATAAAATAATAAAATGCCAGCTGGGCGTGGTGCCTTACGCTGTAATCCCAGCTCTTTTTTTTTTTTTTTGAGACGGAGTCTCGCTCTGTCCCCCAGGCTGGAGTGCGGTGGCAGGATCTCAGCTCACTGCAAGCTCCACCTCCCAGGTTTACGCCATTCTCCTGCCTCAGCCTCCTGAGTAGCTGGGAGTACAGGTGCCACCACCACGCCTGGCTCGTTTTTTTTTTTTTTTGTATTTTTTAGTAGAGACGAGGTTTC